AGTCACCACCAAGGGAGGGGGAAATCCACCGTGGTGGGGGAAATCCACCGTGGTGGGGCAATGGCGCCAGAAGTGGTGGGGGGGCCAGGTGGAGGGGGTTTGTTTTGACGCGCCATACGTGCCCACGTACTACTGATATCTGAAAAACAGTCTTTCTACCGGTAAACATTTCTCTCTCTCTCTTTCTCTCTCTTTTTTTTTCTTCTTCTCTTTCTCTCTCGTTGTATTCATTATCTCTCCTTGGCTTGTTCTTAATTAATTGTTCTTAATTAACTTTATATAGGCTTAAAAAAATTCTGATCAATAAAATAATCAGAAATATATGTAACCGTTCAAAACGATATAAAATTGTCATACTTGTTTTTGTCGCGATAACACGTGCATTATGTTTTTCAGTGTTTTATCATCTTCCCTAATTGCCCCGCGTCGCGATAGTCTCCGGGGGGGGGGGGAACGAACAAAACTTCGGTATCGTCAAATTATTTTACGCCGCGGATACGGGAAAAACCAAAAAAAAAAAAAAATATAAACTATTTTATTTTGCGCAATAATTGTTTTTCGCCAATGTCCGCGCGATACACAGAATCGTGTGTCCCGTATGATATACGATAATATTTCGCGTAAACTACCACAATTGACGAATTTAGCGTCAGATCTGGTTGTCGCGATCGCGATCACACACGATAAGATAGAAATATACGCGATGCCTCGCAATTTTTTACCCATTCAATCTCAATGGCGATAAGCGCGACGAGTGCGTCGCTGTCTTTTAAAATTGCAGCGTGTATATTTTTTTTTTTTTTTTCTTATCGCTAATGCTCGCGGTTCGAATAGATTTAATCGCCAGATAAATGTGAAATTTATTTATAGAAAATATGTCGACTAATATACACACGGGGTTGTTCGAAAATTTTTTCACATGATCGATAGATCAGAAAAGTCAGGTGTCAGTTTGGAAAATTCGCACTGCAGTTTGATTTGAGATATTAATTAATTAATTAACATTTTGATTTATTTAAACTAAATGCGAATTTTGCAAAACGGCACGTGACTTTTTTGTAAAAAAGTTTGAGACACCCCGTACGTGGCGCGGAGTAGCTTTAACTTCTATTTTCTCGGAAAGTCTGTTATATATTCTTCAACAAGCGAAGATGTATTTGCGGATCCCCTTATCGTTTATCGCGACTCTTGAATTGATCGATTTGTAGTTCTCGTTGCGAACACGTGTTTTCACAGTCGCGTACTCTGTCGCGCTTTCTCATCTTCTCTCTCTCTCTCTCTCTCTCTCTCTCTCTCTCTTTCTCTCTTTCTGTTTCTCCATCTTCTTTTCTGCCCCGTCACTGCGCTTTTTTCGCTTCGTTCGCTCTCTCTTCGCCGCGATATTATCGCATCCCTTCCAACGACGATGATCGATCAGATCTGTATTGTAAGGATCGCGCTGCATCCGCTGTTTCGTGCAAAATCTCCATTTCTTATTCGCAAACAAACCCGAATCAAGTCAAAGAAAATTCCTCTCTCGCTGTTTGTCAGCCGTTTTTGATTTTGTTTGTTTGTTTGTTTTTTTGACGTTTGTCTCATTTCGTCGTTTTTATTTAACGAATTCGTTATCTCTTTCTCTGGTTTTCTCTCTCTCGCCCAACGCACTTGGCGTATCGACAAAAAAAAGTCATGCTATTTTTTTTTTATTATTTTATTGTGGAATGTAGAATTAAGTCTAATGCGGAAACGGTATGTGCTGTTTGACACGTGCTGGAGAGGAAGGGATTGCGCGCGCGTGATAACGCGCGATATTGGCCGGCCGCGCGACCTCGCAGTGCAATTTTGCGCTCCACCGACGCATCCATCACTTTTCAGGCTCGCGTTCTGCCGATTAAAATTTGTAACTGGAAAACGCGGCGCATGCGTTTCTCTCTCTCTCTCTCTCGCGCGCGTGAGGAGGAGTTTTCGAGCCAATATCGACGCGAAAAAAAATTTGTAGAACTGTAAATCCAACCGTTTATCGCACACGCGCGCACACACACACACACACGTGCAGTGATATGACACGTGCGCGTAATAGACGCCACTGCGCGCTACCACACAAAAAGGCATTTGAATAAAAATTCCTCGCGGGATAAAAATTGCTCGCGCGAGTTTTATTCCGCGCTTAACTCTATTATTACGAGAGTATCTTATCGACGACGAGGGTTTTTTTTTTTTTTTTTTTTTTGATCGAGCGAGCTAATTCCGCGCACAATTCCCGAGTTTTTCTACATCGCGCAGCCCGATGAGAGAAAGAGAGACGAGCCCTTGATAATCGAGATCGCGCGAGAGGCTGTTGCACCGTCATCAACGCGCCCGACATCGTCGCGGTTAAGTCAATCGATTTATTATGTCGCGCATTTTGATTAGACTTGTAATTTAATGTTGTGTCATTGTTTGTGCGCGCGACGCGTATGTAAATATATACGACACCCGTTGAGAAACGCGTATTTTGCGATGCGAGAGAAACACTTTTGTAAACAAAAGTCTCCTTCGTCTCTCTCTCTCTCTCTCTATCTCTCCCGTTTACATCATGAATTTTTTCACTACTTGAAAGCCGAGAACTTTAAGAAAGAACTTTTCTCGACTGTGTGTGTTCGATAAGAGAGAAAAAGTTTTTTTTTAAGAATATCAGAAGTTTATCCCTTAGATAAAAACCAGAATGTCTGACAAAAAGTGACGATAGTCTTGAGAATTTATTTGGATGCGCAGAAAAAAAAAACGGACTTGCTTCAATCGACGTCACGAGCTGCCGCAAAAAAACAAAATAAATGATTCATTCAAATTGCATATGCGATTAATTTAATTTAATGTCTCCGAGCAATAAGTGTTTATCTGTTGCGTGTGATGCAATAATATTGATCAACGGGATGTGTTTTCAATTAAAACCGACGCTGTGTTGATTCAACGTCATTTTTTTCCTTGTATGATTTCAGGCCGCGGGTAGGCACCAATGTAGCTACCTAATAAACCTGCAAAAGGGAGAATTCCTTTATCAGGGTGGTGACCCCTTGTGGCTTCAAGGCCTGAGATCGATCCCCGGGAAGCTGCAAGATCTCTATGAGATCAACAAGATCCTGGCCCATAGACCGTGGCTTTTGAATAAATCGCACATAGAGGTGAGACTTTTTTTTTTATTTTTTTATTTTCTCGTTTATTTAGCGAGAAAATAAATCACGAATGTGTTTCTCGCGATATGTAACCGCAATTCTGATTTCAGAAATTGACTAAAGGCGACGACAACTGGTCCCTGGCCGAGGTCGTCCACGCGATAGTTCTGTTAGCTCACTTCCACTCACTTTCGTCTTTCGTGTTTTCCTGCGGAATTAACGAGGAACTGGACAACGTGACCGGGCACCACTACAAAGAGAACATTCAGGATAATAGTAGTAACGTACCACCTGCCAAAGACAAACTCTCCACCAGTCCCAAGAAGATTCCCAACGGTGAGGGAAAGACTGGTACGTACATATAACATTTTTATACAAATTTTATAATGTACGTCGGTAGTATCTTCTCGGGTGTTTGCACCGAGGAAAAGACATTTTAGACAGACAGATTCTAATGAATCGGGATTCACGTTAAACCGCGTGTTTCAACAGAAAACGTACCGTCGCCGCCACCGTCGCCGAGCATAGTCGGCGAGCAAGAAGTCGGAGTTGAGACTCTGATGGAACGTATGAAGCGTCTCTCGGAGAAATCCGAGTCGAATCAGATCACGCAGGAGGAACTGTCCAAGAGATTCGAGACCGTCGAGACGCAGTCGGCCGAGCTGGCAGCGGCGCCGCAGAGGAGTAGTTCGGTCCTCGATTCGGACATCGGTCTGTTCATCGAGGATCCCACCTTCATCTATCAGGATTTCGCCAAGGTGAGGTGCTCTCTCTCTCTTCCTCTTTCTCTTTCTCTTTCTCTCTTTCTCTCTCTCTCTTTCTCTCTCTCTCTCTCTTTCTCTCTCTTTCTCTCTCTCTCTCTCTCTCTCTCTCTCTCTCTCTCTGCAATTTATATTAAATATTGGTTAGCGACTAACTGTAAAAATAAAACGCAGTATCTTACAGTATCTTGGTCAAATTTATCGATTTATATTAACGTTTCCAGCTATGTTCATCTTATTCTCTCATGACTTTATTATAATGTTATTCAGCAGCGAGGCGAAGGAATATACAATTTTGTTTTTGTGCGCTTAGTAATGACGGTATTTCGAGCCGTGTAGCTCATCCATGAATATTTAAACCGGTTGCTCGCTCGCGCTCCGTTCTCGCCTCAGTTACTATGAATATTTACCGCGACGACAAACATATATTGGCCGATTTGAAGCAACTACCAACGACGGGCGCGTTAATTTGCAAGATCATATAAAACGTTGTTCTCTCTCTATCTCTCTCTTTCTCTCTATCCCTCTCTCTCTCTCTTTCTCTCTCTCTCTCTCTCTTTCGAACACAATCCTCTCGTGTTTATATTTCTGTTTCTATTGTTTTTTTTCCTACATCAAGTAGGTATTTGTTTTTTTTTTCTTTCTCGTTTCTCGATATCTCGGCGATTTTTGTGCGACCTTCTCTCGGCTGTCTCATATCATCTTTTCTCTCTCCTTTTTAATATGATTTTCTTCGTCCTTTCACAGCGCGGTCAGTTAAATGATATACCAACTTTCCGCGTCCAGGACTACTCTTGGGACGTTCACGGTTATTCGCTGGCGAATCGTCTGTACAACGACGTTGGCAATCTCCTCGACGAGAAGTTCAAGACCGCATACAACTTGACGTACTACACCATGGGTACGCACAACAAGGTCGACACGTCGCGCTTCAGACGTGCCATATGGAACTACATACAGTGCATGTTTGGCATTAGACACGACGATTACGATTACAACGAGGTGAATCAATTGCTCGAGCGCAGCCTCAAGACCTTCATCAAGAGCGCCGTCTGTTATCCGGAGCGCGTCACCAAAAAGGATTACGATCGCGTTATGAGGGAGTTCAAACACAGCGAAAAGGTATGTTTATTCGATCGAAAAATAAAATTTGATTAAAAACTAAGAAAATTTAAATAGCAGAAAATAATTATTCTCCAAAAAGATATATAACGAGGCGACGATGTGATGTTTTATTATATGCGTCTCTTAATTTTACCGGTTAAATATATTACAGATTAATATTGTGTTACAAGTCAATATTTTCGGCTTCTTTAAAAAAAAACAAAGTTAAATCTTTCAAAATTTTTAAATTAAAGTAAACAACGACTCATGCAAATAGACGTCGAGGAAGAAAGATAAAAAGTGTGTTAAATACATTAAAAATACAAGTTCGGCTAAAAATAGCTCCTCTATTTTTGTGTGTGATAAGAAATTAAGATTAGTACTCGCGTGTCGCTTGTGAAATCAGCTGCGTGATCTTTTCGAAACAGGCGCGTCTTTTTTTTTTTCGACCTGACGAAACAAAAAAAAAAAAAAACAAAAAACGGTCGGGCGTGTAACGTTACGTATTCGTGACTTTTGTACTGTTTTTTTCCAGGTCCACGTGAACCTGATGATTCTAGAGGCTCGCATGCAAGCGGAACTGTTGTATGCCCTTCGTGCCGTGATGCGGTACATGACCTAAAGCGGGAGTTTAACGTCGTCTCCTCGTCTGTCTGCTGTCAGTCTGTAGTTTGTCGATTTGTTTTCTCGCGCCACGTTCCGTGCCACGGAATTCTCGCGGGCACGGAAAGAAAGGAAACACGATAGCCTTGAGTCTCATACGGAACATCACACATATTACATATATGTATATATATACATATATATATGTATATATATATATATATATATATGTATATACATATGTACGCGCCGTCGTAAGATCGATTTTTTCATTGTGAACTTACGAATCGCGGCGATAGAGAACAATCGCAATGTTTTTTTCAACGGGAAACCGCGAGAGAGGAAGAAGAAGAAGAAGAAGAAGGAGGAGAATTGAAGAGGAGAAGAAGATGATGAGAAAAGATTTATCCACGAAAAGACGAGGGATCGCAATGCTTGGATCGTTTTAACTGCGCTCTCGACACGATTCTTCATTGGCGTTTCAATTGACGAACTATATAAAACACGTCTTTGTTCATCAAACTTTACTCACGAACACGCCGGTTGTCGCGCGTTTGTCCCACTCGCGCAATATGGATTACAGTCCGTAACGATGGGGTGATTGAGTGCTTCTTTGTATGTGTTCAAGAGAAGAGAAAAAGAAAGAGAAGAAGAAGAAAAAGAAGAAGAAGAAGAAGAAGAAGAAGAAGAAGAAGAAGGAGAAAAGAAGAAGAAAGTTGAACAAATAGGCAGTAAGACGGGGATTTGATGAAGGAAGAGAGAGATTTATAATTTGTTTTGTACATAGACACTTGTATTTTTCTACGTTCGACATCGTAGCAGACTGTTATTTGTGCGTTTCGTTTACGTTTCAGATCTGTTAAAACAAAAATAAAGTTGCTCTCGCCTGTTAGAAGCTTTCGCGCCGCGCTTGTAACTTCACACGTTACATTACACACACACACACACACACACACATATACTCACCCGTTTTAATTGCGTTTGCGTTACGCAATCGTTTCGCATCGCATTTGCGTGTCCCATGTCAGGGCAGACCGTAAAATCGTAGCACCCCGCGCGATGTATATGGTATTTCGTTTCTTCTTTATTTTATTTTTCTTTTTTTTTTTTTGTTGTAACACACCTGTGTCGAGAAGTGGAAAAATTAATCGTAAGATTTTTCTTTTTAAGAAACCTCCGTTTTTATTAAACGCTGAATTCGCTCGTTTTGTCGCGATTCTTATTCAGACTCGCTCGTGAATAAACTTTCTCGTTACGCGCGCGCGCGCACACCGTCGAAGTTATCCACGTGTGTGTTATCCAAAAAACGGTCGAATCGCTCGAGGACAACACACACGCGCGCGCACACACATACACACACACACACAGCGCGTCGAACCGCGCGAACGGGTTGAGAAAATTGTCTTTCGCGCTGTACATACATATATGTATACATGTATATATACAAAGCATATATATAGATATGTACATGTATATATATGTATATGTACACACATATATATACATATATATATATATATATATATATATACACACACACACGTACATGTATCATGTTTGAACGTTGTTTCATTTCGATGAATTCTATCTCGCGAAAACGTGGAAAGCTATATATATAAACATGAAAGAAAAAAAAAAAAAAGAATTGTACCTATTTATCATTCATCATACGCGTGTGTCGAAGTAAACCTTAGATTGTAGGACGATCCGCGGTCGTGTGCGTGCGCGTACAGCGCGCTTTGAGCCCCGCAAGGCGGCGTGGCACGCAAGCAACCGCGGAGAGAAGCAATGCCTATTGGCTGTGTTTATTTACCGATGAAATAACGCCGCTGTTGTTTAGCTGTGAACCCGGAGAAAGAGAGATAGAGAGAGAGAGATAGACAGCGTCGCGAGAAAAAGAAAATTTCCTCTTTAACCCCTCCCCGCCCATCTGGAGGAACTTTCTCCGTCTTCGAGATCGAGGATAAACAAACACCGAGAAAATACACAGATCGGATTCTAGTATACCGTTTTACAGTTTGTCGATGATGATGGGAGGAGGGTTAAAGTCGACGCAGAAAGATGAAGAGAGCGATCGCGTATCGCGGAGGAAGTTTATTGTAAAGCTCGTAAAAAAAAAGAAAAAAAAAACAAACAAAACAAAAAAAGGTTGACAAAGACATCGACGTCGTTCCCGCATCCGCTGCGTTTGCGTCGATCTTTGCGCGAGAAAAGAGAAATCGATTGACGATGGCTATCTCGAAGAAGGCAAGCAAATTCATTCACGTTCGCTTCGTGAGAACGAGAGAAGAAAATGGATCGGAAAGTATGCGGATTTATATCCAGGTCGTGCGGTGTGACGGAAACTCTATTTGTTGTAAGAACCAAACGTGAGCGCAATCCAATCTGTCGTTGCCCCGACGCTTACGGGGCGCTTATCAACGAATTTTCATACCTTCGGCGTAGCGTTTTAACGAAGAGGGGAATGGGATTAAAAAAAAAAAAAGAAAAAAAAAGAGAGAGAAAGAGAAAGAGGGGAGCGCGACGCACGTCAGACGGAGTCCCGTCCCTTCCGCGACACAATTGATTGCGGGAGGGTCATTGCGATTTAGCGAGAGAACGTCGCTCGGTGTCGTCGTAGTGTTGTGTGCGAGAAGAACGGAGGGAGAGGCTGTTTAAACAAATCAAATTCTTATAATAGATCGTTAAGATAAACACAAACATGTAAACACACACACACATACATGAGAAACACACATATACACGAAGAACGTGGCACAAAAAAAAAGAAAAAACTATTACACGCGAACTATACGTGTTCTGTGATCGCATATATCTATATATAACACACATACACCTAAAACAAAGAGCGAGGTATATATATATGTGTGTATATTACACACATGTATGCATATATATATATATATGCATATTTACAATTAACTCGGTGAGAGAGAGAGAGAGAAAAAGAGAGAGAGAGAGA